CCAGTTCCCTGCTCTGATACGACTCCTTCCCCATCCCCCCTATTTTCCAAGTTGAAAAGATTCCCAGCATCCTACCTGAACTTCCTAAGAATTTTTAAATTTTTCTCTGAGATTTTGTCGTCAGAAAGAGGGGAGGGATATTTAGCACTTCTGAAACGGGAAAAACCGTGAAAACTCAGCCAACGTCGCAGAAATACGCCCCCTCCCCCGTAGATTTCTCTTAACGATGTAAATAACGATCGTGAAACAAGAAAATCAACCACCAAACAAAATTTTTCTCAGACGAAAAAGACTCCTCTCCCAGCTACCAAGTACGACCCCCTCGCTGGAGTTTCACGACGTTCAATGTGCCTTGTTTTCAGATAGTTTCTCATTCAACGAGCCCGTGAACATGCTCGGCGCTGGTGGCGGAGGTGGTGGCAATGCTCCGCAACCACAACAATATATGCCTGGCATATTGGGTGGCCATATTCCTGGACTACCAGGTCCATTTATGGGTGGTCCACCGTTTCCTCATCATGCACAGCAACAACCTCCTTTACAGGTTTGTTCAGGTTTATGCGTTGTTTTTGGGCAGAGTTTGGTCGTGAGGGGAGGGGCTTTTACACTTTCGCTGCTTCTCTAGTTCCGTTTAAGAGTCTCACCGTTATGAAACCTGTGAACTCTTGTGAAGTTGAATGGCTGGTATCACTACGTGACTTCACAGGGTTCCTCATGTTTCCACTTGGCTCGTGGGGAAGTAAACGAAGCGCAAAATGCTCCTCCTCGTCGAATTAAGCCTAGTTTTTTGTATTTGTTTGTGTTTGGTATGTACATATTTTTCTGGGATGTGTGGCAAGATAATCCTAATATGGCGAGCGTGGCGAACGTTATCGCGTCTTGCAGACGAGTTTTCATGCTTGATCCTTCGAATATGATTGCAAAGAGAAGGGGAAACTCGATTTTGCTTTACTGAATTCTTGTCTTCGCTTGAATTCCTGAAAGTTTCGCTCTCCGTTTTCAGTAACTGGTAAACATGAATTTGCGCATCTCCACACGAAACGTCTTTCGCGACAACGCGGCGATTGTCTTGTCCGTCTCCTCTTTCATGCGGATTCTGAGAAATTTGAGCAGCTCCTAAGAACTGTCCCATAAAATCCTTTATGAATCCAGTTATTTTCGTTGACAATATTGTCCCCCACCTCGCACATTTTTAGGTCTAGCTAGGGACATTTCAGGAGCCCCATCGCGAAAAAAAAGAAAACAGCACTCCTCGTGAGCTTGGCTTAAATTTAGCTTGAACTATCACGAGTGTATCATGGCAAGCTGCTTCTTACGTAATTTTTTGAAAATCTAAAAAATTTCATCCGCTTTAGAAATCCCTATCTAGAGAGTGAACTCAGCAGTCGATGAGTGCTTTCATCCCTTTCCGCTTCAAGTTTTGAGAACCACTCTCCGATCGTTTCGTGTTCAGCAGTTTTAACTATAGAATGGCGTTCATTCATTCGTTCAGTAATTAATAAAAAAAAACTTTATCGATCATTCATTTTTAAGTTGGGGCCGTCGAAGTGCGACATAGGCTGCGAGGACACAATTGATTTGACGTCCAGCTGTGGTATCGTGTCGACTAGCTAGGAAAACTAGCTGGTTCGCTGATGTCCTGAAGTGCACTGCCTGAGTTTCCTACAAAGGCGCGTTCGGCTTCGGTGGGGGCATTTTTCGTGTTCCCATCAGTCGCTGCTGTTACACTTTGTGGAAACTCGTGAACTCTTCTAAAACTGTGCTATAGCGTGAGCTTCCTTCGCATTGACAAGAGTCTACAGGTTTTATCGAGCTGTGACGTGTAATTTGACAGCAACCAGCAAAATGAACTAGCGCAAGTGTAAAATACCCCCCCCCCCCTCGCAAGCCGAACAGAGTTCCCGAAAATTTTAATGACTGTGTTTGTCAGAAATGCAGAAAAACTATCCGAACTACGTAGTGATGGGAGTATCTTCGATTCTTCCTCTCTTTCTTAGCATTGACCCCTCCGCTCCCTCAGATCCAGTGCAGTACGTCCAGGCGGAAGGGGAAATATCCCCGAAGTACTTTCCTCTCCAATTTCCTGTCCGCATTTCTGTCTAGGATTTCTCCTCCTATGTCCCCGCACGCTATTAACAAAGTGATTAAGAAAGCCGCATGGTTGAGGAGGGGGGGGGTTATGGATGAGCAGATACCCACCTTTAATCAACACTTAAAATTAAGGTTTTGCTGCGCTAAAAGATTTATAACGCTCGTGAAATGGTAAAAACTAACAATCACAGAGTTTTCCCTAATGACAAAATAAGGAGCTGCTCCTTCCAACTGCCAAGTACGACCACACAGTTCACACGACATAACTGGGACTTGTTCAGGACAGGGTCGTTGAACAAAAACTTGCAAAATACGACCCCTCCTCAAAATTCCCCCCCCCCTCAATGCAACCACTTTCCCATCCATCATCAACCTACCATCATCGGCAAGTAAAAAACTGCTTTTGAGCGAGGAAGATGAAGGCGGAGGGGTATCTAGCCCAGTAAGATAGGAAAGTCCGAGGAAAAACGATTTCCAGGTCCCTCCTCCCTCTGAAAAACTGCCCCGAGCGAAGGGAGGGGGGATATTTAGAAGTCCGCAACCAAAACATTTTTCTCAGAAACGGATACCACTCCCCACCCCACCTCCAGCGACCGAATACGACCTCTCTGGCAGGAGATCTTTGGCCTACGACGTGCATTGTCCATAACGTCACCTTTCACACAACTACGGTAAACCCATAGATTTCACAGTAAAATGGGGTTTAGAAAGCATTAGCTTACTTCTTCATATCTCCACCTTTGCGGTTTCGTCATCGTATAGTGCTCTCGAAGTTTATTTTGTTTACTTTATTAACTTCTCTTATTTCACTTTTTTATTTTATTTTATTTTTAGGAATATCCCATTTTTTTTGCTCCATTTAGTACGTTTCAGGACATGTTTTCTGCCGCTCAAACAACAGCGTCCATGCTATCTGCCTCAGGTGTACTGTCATATTCTGATGCACCATCACGTCAAGGTGGAAGCTTGGCCCCTGGTGCACCTATAGGTGTACCTCCGGGGCAAACAGATACATCTCAAGGCGCTGGAGGACAACAACAGGCTGCGTTACCAGGTGGAAGTGGACTGCCAGCGTATGTATTTTTGTTGCTCTTTTGTTTTGCAAAAAGATCGGCGCAGCTCGGCAACAGGGGAGAGCATTTTGCACTTTTGCTGCTTCTCATTTCGAGTTCATGCTTTACCAGAGTTGACAAGTTGCAGAATGCCACCCCCTCCCGTCTCCGAACTAAGTCCGTATTTGTGTCACAAATTTGTTATAGGCTTTCCGGTGGCGTACAGTTCCAATGCCCACGTCGACCAAACCACGGACTTGAAGGACGTTCCATTTTACTGCGAGCAAATCATTTTGCAGTACGTATGCCAGGTGGTACCATTCAGCACTATCATGTAGACGTGTCACCAGACAAATGTCCACGGAGAGTGAATCGGTCAGTAACTCTCATAACTCATGTCCCTCTTACTAATGTAACGAATCAAATCCTTTTTTAGAGAAATCATTTGCTGTATGATCCGCTCCTTTGGCAAGTACTTCAGTTCGAGTAGACCGGTCTATGATGGGAAGAGAAATATGTATACACGGGAACCATTGCCGATTGGCAGAGAAAAGATGGAATTCGAGGTGCGTTTTTGGGGATTTGAATCACACAAGATTCTCGGCGCTGGGAAGAGGGCATTCAATCGACTCCTTGTGCAAAATGGGATTGCCGTAAAACGGATGGGGATTCCTCCCTTAAAACTAGGGAAATAAGGAGCGGGCCACTTCCCGCTTCTGGAGGGGGATTTTGGAAAACACGACCCCCCTCCCAATTTTCTTCTTCATTACGATCCCCTTCCCATCCAATTTACCATCTGTAATTTTTCCCTACTAGTTTTTCTTACTTATGTGAAAAATTTCACAGTTTTCCCTCCCGAAAAAATGGTGCCGAAATCAATAACCGGGAAAAATTCTCTCGCGCACGGGAAAACTCCTATCAAGTCCAGAAGCAGTCCCCCCTGTAAGAGCGAAGTGCAGACGCCCCCTCCATCCTTTCTCCACTTGGAGTCTCGTAATGGTGTAAATAGCCGTACAAAACAAGAAGAATCTATTTGAAAAAAAATCCCGTACCAATAACAACCCCTTGGCTCCACCGACCTAATACGACCCCCTCTCATAGGGAGGGGACGAGCAGCAAAGATATTGTACTATCATCACATGTTCTACTAGTTCCGGTAATGACCTCCTAGGTCGATACCAATTTCCGAAAAAAAATATTTTGACGACTTGAAAGGAAGTTGGAAGAGTTAGCGTCATGAAGACATTTTGTGGTCCTACCAGAAGTGTAGGCCTTGGAACTGTTACTGAAAAAACCTCAGGGATAGTACTGGAATGGGTGAAGTGGAGGGAGGGGAGGGTGGGAATAGAAGTTGCACGCCAGTTCACCCACTATCATGCTGTCCCTGCCCCCAGTTTTGCACAGGGAGACAAGGAGCCCCCCCCCCTCCTTGTAGCGGACTTTATCAGTATTATCATTTCTGCACTGTCTCCGCCTAAAAGGAACAGTACTCTTGAGCCCCTCAAGCTTTGGATTCAGGTTACTCTCCCTGGTGATTCGGCGGTGGAGCGTCAGTTTACTGTGACAGTGAAGTGGGCAGGCCAAGTTTCGTTGTCAACATTAGAAGATGCAATGGAGGGGCGCGTACGTCAAGTGCCGTTCGAAGCTGTTCAGGCCATGGATGTCATTCTGAGACATCTCCCTAGTCTTAAGTGAGTTACCTCTTTACTTTTGCCATCTTTTTTCTTAGCTTTTTCTGTTTTTTTAATGTTTGTTTATCCGTCATAATTGTTCCGTTTAGGTACACACCTGTGGGTAGATCATTCTTCTCACCACCAGCACATCCTCATCAACCACCTCAGCAACATGGGCAATATCACATGGAAAGTAAATTGGGTGGTGGTCGTGAAGTGTGGTTCGGATTCCATCAATCTGTTCGACCATCGCAATGGAAGATGATGCTTAACATCGATGGTGAGTATCCAAAAACAGCTGTACTTAATTTGAAATGTTCTTTCTGAAGTCTTACATCCATTACTTTAGTGTCCGCCACGGCTTTCTATCGATCCATGCCCGTCATAGAGTTTGTCGCAGAAGTTTTGGAGCTTCCCGTACAGGTGATATCTCATTTTGTCTGCACATCTCTATTTAGAGAACATTCCAGTATTGATCACCATGTCGTGAGCAGTTTTTACCAGGAAAGTTTAGGCTCTCACTGAAAGGCGTGCCCTGTCCGATGCACAGCGCGTGAAATTCACTAAAGAGATACGCGGTCTGAAAATAGAAATTACTCATTGTGGGCAAATGCGCCGAAAGTATCGAGTATGCAATGTGACAAGAAGGCCTGCACAAACTCAAACGTAGTTCGAAATTCCCTTTTTTACTGTTTTTTATACATTAAGTTCCTCCATGAGGCGGAGTGGTCTAGTGGCACGTGGAACGCTTACCGAGCGCGCGGTCTGGGGATCAAATCTCGTCTCGGCTTTTGCCCAGGCCAATCAAACTTCTACCCTCCCGGGGACGGTAACCTGGTACTAGATTAGTCTGGTAGGATAAGAACACTGACTTGTAATCGGTTTGTTCGCGGGTACCGTTTCCTTTTGCAAAGTTGTTATAGAATTTTTGAACTCGGTTAAAAACCATCATCGGACTCCCGGCTTCAAGCAGGACGAAATTATTAAAATATTCCGGACCGCCTCACTGCGTGTATCACCGCAACTTTCTTGGCGCTGTTCTGCTTGGAGGGGGCATTTCGCCTTTCCCTAGCTCCCTTTGTTGGTTCATGTCAGTCGACAGGTCTCGTTTTGGTGAGATCTGTGAACTGCTGTGAAGATGCAAAATTGTTCGCAGGGTACAGCGTTGTGTGAAACATAGGGAAATCGTACTTTTTCCCTGGGAGGGGGTCGTGTTTGGTCTTTGTTGTTAGAGGGGGGTCGTACATGGCATGGATTTGTCGCGTAGGTGTTCCGGTTGCTGACTTTTTGCGTGATTTTTCCTGTTTCATGTGCACTATATACCCACCCCACCCCCTCCCCCCTCGTAAAATTTTAGGGGAAAACTAGGAAAATTTTCACCTGTTTCACACTGGCTGTAACGCTCTCCCCGCTCGACGGAAAATCTTTGGGTGAAAAACTGGAAAATGTGGGAAATTGGTAGGTAGGTGTTGGGGAAGGGGGGGGGGGTCGTACTTACACCACCACCTCACACATCAGGATGCTGTACCCTGACTGTTCGAGTGTGCGACATAGATCACAAAAATTCATTAAATCGCAATTTTTCACTGGGTGGCCTATACTGACTTCGCTTGGTGCCATTTGGTGCCCCCACCAAGCCGATCTGCGCCTTCTTTTCACTAACTGAGAAATTAGCGATAGTTTCATTGGTGTAGAAAAACATGTTGTTCGTAAGATCTATATGAAGCGATTCTTCTCGATATGTTCGCATGAGCCATTGTGGTTAGAAAGAGGGAGTAAAGGGGGGGGGTGGGTGGGATAGGCGGTTGTAGGGTGAAGAGTTGCAGCCATTGCCATTAGAGTAGGGAGGCGACAAGGCAGTTTGACGCCACGCTTCAGCATAGCAATAAATGACTGCTCCATAAACGAAGTACACTTCAAGTTAAGAATCAGCGATCATACAGCTTGGTCATTCAATTTACAGCTTTCCTCTACAACTGGAGACTGGGCAGACGATAGAATGCACAGTGGCGAAGTATTTTTACGATAAATATCGCATTCAACTGAAATATCCACATCTCCCATGTCTTCAGGTTAGAATAATGGAGATGTAATTCAAATTGTTGCTCATTTATAACGTTTGGCTTGTAGGTTGGACAAGAGCAAAAGCATACTTATTTGCCACCAGAAGTATGCCATGTAGTGCCAGGACAGCGATGCATTAAAAAATTAACTGATACGCAGACATCAACGATGATTAAGGTGAGGAATTCACTGAAAATTTGTTTCTCTTTTGAAATCATTACCTGTTGTTGAAGGCAACGGCTCGTTCTGCTCCCGAAAGAGAACGTGAAATTGCAAGCCTCGTCAGAAAAGCGGAATTTTCCGCGGATCCTTTTGCTCATGAGTTTGGTATCGCCATCAACTCTGCCATGACCGAAGTGAAAGGACGCGTTCTGTCGGCACCAAAGTTGCAGTACGGAGGAAGAAATAAAGCGACAGCTTTGCCGAATCAGGGAGTATGGGATATGCGTGGCAAGCAATTCCACACTGGAATTGATGTGAAGGTAATTGTGCAAGTTAGACCTGGAATATGGGCGCCCAAATGAATAGCATTCCTGTTATAGGTCTGGGCTATTGCTTGTTTTGCACAACAGCAACACGTCAATAGCAGAAGGATCTAACGCCAATTTCACGAGGTCAAATTGCAGACGTATTTTCAAATGACGCCTGGTAACGCTATAGTTTTGATTCAGCCATGCTTCCTGCCAGGAGTCTAGATTTTTCGAATAAATGTACATTTCCACTTTGACGCTTATTTGAATGAATTAAGAAGGTGAGGAATCGTTAATGGAGGTTGAGATCCTTAAAGAACATCGGCGCTTAACTGCACACTGACTTCGAGGGCTTTTCTTGGCATATTGAGCTGCTGACAGTAGCATGCCACTTTCTCACTATCCCAGCCAATTACCCAAAAATTCAAAAGCTCGCGGATTGAATTTGTGGGTAATGATATCTCGGAGGTGCAGTGTCCGTTCCTTGTCGAACCGACGAAGCTTCTCTCTCTTTCTTTTTTACTCCGCCCTTGGTCCTTCCTTTCCTTCCTCCCTTCTCTGATCCTCCTCCTTGCCAGTTGTTCTTGAGCTAATGGACTGAGATGCCTCGAGAAAATACCCCTGGACCCTCGCAGCGAGAGCGCGTCTGGTTGACAAAAGCCCCGTTTCCCGGACTCCGCTTAGGCTGCGTTTATACTTTGCGGCAGCGTAGCGTAGCGTAGCGCAGCGTAGCGTAGCGCTTCCAGCGTACGCCAGCGCAGTGCGAAGAGAGGATGCATATCGATCTAGCTTGCAACCAACGAGCATCACCAGCGGCTACGCTAGCGTACGCCAGCTGTTTCTCCATGCGTTTCACGCAGCGTTTTGCTTAGCGTAGGCCAGGCGGCTACGGGAGTAGCAGGACGTATGGCGGAGGTGGGAAGGTAAGCAGAAAGCACATCGAATTGCGCGCTCGTCCCTCGCCGCTTATACTCAGTACAATTGGCACATCGCTTCTGCGTCTCTCTCGGACGGGCCAGACATCGTCTCTACAATGCACAGTCGCTTCGGCTCTCCGACGGCCAATAATCTCTACAGAGTGCACCATTCGCTGTCTGCGTCTACCGACGGCCAGCATAATCTTACAATGCAACATCACTCTTCTGCGTCTCCGACGGCCACATGATCTCTAGCAATACACGGTTGATGCGCGCGTCCTCTCAATGGGCCGACATTGTCTCTACTGCCCGTGCCGCTGCTAAGCGCTAGCAAAAACGCGGTGACCTGCTGGAGAAACCTCTCGAGACACGCTGGTGAAGCTAAGATCGATACGCTAAGCTTTCCCGTGCCTTCCCACGCCCAGCTTGCGCTTAGCGTCCGCTGGTGACGCTGTGAAGCCTAGATCGATATGCATCTCTCTTCGGCACTGACAGCCCGGAAGGCTACGGCTACGCTGCCGCAACAGTAATATATACCACCTTACACTTACTTATGCATAGATCAGAAGCTTTAGTCTGCTTGCCTTTGGATGCCGCTCTTACTTGGATGTTCACAACGGGACCAGCGCGTTTAGCTTTGGTTAGTTGTGCGATGGACCGTGTGGCCGCGTTGGCGGAGTCGGGAGACAGCCCCCACAGTATCACGAACCAATCCAGCGCGTCCGCAGTGGATTTTGAACGTGGAGAAAAGTTGGCGTGCTACTGCACGCTGCGGCTCAATCTGTATCACCCATTTTTCTGTTCCGTTCACTGACTGGCAAGGATAGGACAGCTGGAGGTGTGGAGTTTATAGTTTGGTCTTCTAGGATTAATGAGCATTTGAAAATCTCTCAAGCAGTTTATGGGAAATATCCGGAACACTTAGCTACAACTGTACTTGATGCCTGATAGCCTCCTAAATCTGAACCCGATCTTGAAGTGGGTCAGAGGATACAATTGTATATACAAACTAGCCTAACACAATGTTTTCGCCCTAGACCAAAATTCATGAGCAAGGGCGCTCAGTTGTAATCGATAGCTATCGAATCGTCAGTGTATATTCGAAGGGATGCCACTCTGAGTCCCTTAAGAACAGCCGGTGTTGATTGGCCAAGTCGCTGTTGGCTCCTAAACGTCGCGCGCGCTCGTCTAGGCACCCCAATTCTCGCTGTTTACTTTTACAATGTTGAAAATCGCGGTCGATTTTTTATTCACGACTTCCTCACTCCACTATTTTACAGTCGCAGAGCGCGCCTGAAGTCTGGTTTTCAGGGGGAGGGCAAGAGGTTCCATAGTTCGGAAGTTTTCACTACCTCTTTTTCAGGTACGCTATGGGAGTCGATCAGGTAGAGCCGATGTTCAAATACCTCAAGCAAACCTTTTCCGGCATTCAATTGGTCGTTGTCATTTTACCAGGAAAAACACCGGTTTATGGTAAGGCTTGGAGTTTTCTGCTTTGAAGTACTCCTGATTTCTTCAGTTTTTTTTTCGAACGAGCTTCGATTGCTGAATTTTTAGCCGAAGTGAAGCGTGTGGGTGATACCGTGCTTGGAATTGCTACACAGTGTGTACAAGCTAAAAATGTGATCAAAACGACACCGCAGACCCTGTCGAATCTGTGCTTGAAGATGAACGTCAAATTGGGTGGAGTTAACAGTATTCTCTTACCTGCTGTTCGCCCAAGAATTTTCAACGAGCCGGGTAGGTTCAATGTTCCTCATGATTTATTTTTCGAATAGGTATATTCCATATCCCGAAGTTGGGGAGGCATTTCTGCGTTCTATCGCCGTTTTAGCGCAGTTATTTTCGCGGCCCCTCCCATCTTCTCGATATGGAGTAAAGATGCTCCGCACCCTTTTTCGTGGCGTTCCTTTTCACAGTGTGTTATATTTCAGTGATATTCTTCGGTTGTGATATCACACATCCTCCTGCTGGAGACTCGCGTAAACCGTCTATCGCGGCCGTTGTAGCAAGTATGGATGCGCATCCGAGCAGGTAAGTTTTCAAAATGCTCTTGAATTCCGTTTAACTTTTCACTCCTGTGCTTGTTTTCACTTGTAGCGCTAAATCAGTGTAAGTTTTTGTATTTAGAATAAAAGAAAATAGGGCGCAATTGGTCTTGGGGGGGAAGGCAGCGTTTTGCTGGTTATCATAAATCCCAGCGATGCCTCTTGTGGAAACTTGTAAATTCCTGTTAGCTATGCAACAGCTGAGCGTCGTTTACACCTGACAAGAGTTTACAGTTCTTTACGAGGTGAGACGGGTAGTTTTAACAGGAACTAGCAGCAAGAATTAGTGAAACTGCTGAAGTCTGCCCTTCCCCCCCCCCTCTCCCCCAGCCAAACACCGTCGAAGATGGATTATTTCAGATATGCGGCCACGGTTCGAGTACAGCAACATCGTCAAGAAATCATTTCCGATTTGACATATATGGTTCGAGAGCTGCTTGTGCAATTTTATCGTAATACACGCTTTAAACCTACGCGCATTGTTGTCTACAGAGATGGGGTGTCTGAAGGGCAGTTCTTCAATGTACGTTTCGATTTTTTTGAGTGGGCACTGTTCCAGCATTTCACGCGTCAAAATTCATATTTTAGGTTCTGCAATACGAGTTACGAGCAATGCGCGAGGCTTGTATGATGCTGGAAAGCGGTTATCAACCAGGAATCACCTTCATCGCTGTCCAAAAGCGACATCATACGCGTCTATTTGCTGTTGATAAAAAGGTAAGTTCACAGTTGCGAGCGGATCGAAAATCAATCCGGCGGCTTGATTGGTCGGTTTTCAGGACCAAGTTGGTAAAGCTTTCAATATTCCACCGGGTACAACTGTTGACGTCGGCATTACTCATCCAACAGAGTTTGATTTTTACCTCTGCTCACATGCGGGTATCCAAGGAACATCTCGTCCATCGCACTATCATGTGCTATGGGATGATAACGAACTTACTGCTGATGAACTTCAGCAGCTCACGTATCAGGTTTGTTTCGTCGTCTTGGGGGGGGATCACAGATTCGATCCCAGTGAATGAAAGAGTAAATTCAGATGTGTCACACATATGTACGATGTACTCGTTCGGTCTCAATACCAGCACCCGCTTATTATGCACATCTAGTAGCTTTTCGTGCTCGGTATCATCTTGTCGACAGGGAACACGACTCAGGAGAAGGCAGTCAGCCGTCGGGCACCTCAGAGGATACTACACTTTCGAATATGGCAAGAGCCGTACAGGTACGTGGTTTTTCAGTAACGCGCAGTAGTCTTTGGGGCGCTGTAGTACTATGTGATAGCAAGCGTCGTTAGTAGTTAGCGTAGTCGCAGTTTGATGACGATAATAATGCGTTACACTTTAGAAATTTTTTGTTTATTTGTTTACTAGCACTTACGTGCACCATCGACAGCAAAAAAGAACATGAATATTAAGAGCATACCAACTCAAAGGCAAATCAAACCGCTGAAGGCAAATCAAACCGCTGGCAAATCAAACCGAAACAAAAGAAAACATAAACCGTTAGGTATACTAACTAAATGCGGAGGGAAGCAATAAAAGGTCGTACAAGCCAAGTAGAACTTAGGGGAGAAGCAATAAAAGGAGGGCGTACAAGCCAAGTAGAACATAGGCAACAAACCGGTCATGCATTAAAAACCTTTCCCCATACTACACCTCAGCACTACATTAGGGTGAAATTGATGAGCCATGTGGACCTGCGTCAGAGGACGAGGAAACATTATACATAACTGCAGAGTTCATTATTAATGAAAGCGTATGCCTCTATACTATAGAAAGACATGAATTTCTCCAGTAAGCAAACTAAGCAGTGACTGACGTTTAGATAGTCTAAGCAGACAGGATCAGCCCGAACAAACGACCTAGCCAGGCTATGCCGGCGGGCGCCAAGTCTGGATTACCTCTTTGATCTAAATACAGAACCCTTCAGGCGTACATACCTAACCCCTGAGCCCAAGTGAGACCTAGATGTAAAATCAATGAATTAGCCAATAAATCAACAAAACATGACAATTTATAGAATTTAGAAGGGCGGAATCCCCAGCGAGGCTATATTTGATGGGTGGAGGAAGGGCGGTCTTTGATAGTTCCTGTTTCACTCGCACTCCACTACGGTAGGGGGGGACTTTTATTGCTTTTATTGAGGGAAGGGTTTTTGGAGAAAACTGATTTTTTTTTTCGAAAAAGTGGGGAAAAAGTGGTAGGAAGTAGGGAAAACTCAGATGGCAGCTTGGGGAAAGGGGGGAGGGTCGTACCGGAGGAGGAGGTTTGGGGGGGGGAGGAGTGTTGCAAAAATTTTGCATTTTCTGCGGCAGTAAGAGCCGTGTTTCCACACAGTCGAATCATGTTAGGATATGTCTCATGGCGTGTCATGGCAGGTTGAAGAAGAGTAGGTCACGTCATAGCGTACAGTGACATTCCTTGCCTTTCAATCCCTTTTTTCTTTTGAAGACACACTCTACGCTAACCCGCGAAGTGGGTTCTCCAATATGAGAGACGAGGAGGTCCGCAGCTTGCAAAGCATGCTACTCCTGCCACCAGTAAATGCGTTGGAATAAAGTTAGGGTGGTGGAATAGCTGGCAGATCTTTTAAAATTCCGCTCGCACATTATGCCATGAGCACGCAACACGCCACACGACTTTTCCTACGTCCTGCCAGTCCAAATGCACTACTTGTCTGCAACCTCTCACGTTTGGCTGACTGTTGTTCTCCACTGCTCTTTGGCTGCATACATGGAAAGTGTGCCAACGATGTCGGATGAGGAACCTGGTTCTTTCGGATCTCGCGGCACTGCAAGTAAACTGCGCAGCCAAAGAATTGTAGGGAGTAATGGTGTTCCGGCGAAACGTGAAAGGTTGTGGAGTAGAGTAGTGCGTTCGGCTTGACTAGACGTGAGGTCGTTCACGCGGCGTGCTGCATGTCTGTGGCGTCATGTACACGCGGAGTTGTCAAAGAACAGCCAGCTATTCCTACGTTCCAGCTTCATTGGTAGGTATTCCACGGCTAATTTGGCTCTGACAGCTGCGGACCTGCTCACTCCGCACGCGGAAAAGATCGAGCTTACTAGAGCGTAGAGGGTGTCTCCCAAGAAACCATGGATGAAATGGCATGAAAGGTTTCTATACGCTCTGACATGATCCGGTCTACCTCAGCTTGTCATGGCTGGCCACGCGACATGATTTTGATGGAAGAGCGATAGTCTTGTTCACTGCGGACGCTATCGCGTAGGAGGGGAAGATAGTTTGGCGAAGCTCGCAGGCGACCCTAATTACTGGTAAAATAGCTAGTGCCGCGTCAACAACCCCACCTTCTTTACAAGCGCAGCATTCGACAAAACGGTGGACTCATTCTGAGTGCTCATATAGACGCTTGTCATTACTTAGTACTTGAGCACTTCCCCTCTCCTCTTTTTTTTGTTGCATTTCAAGATGATCATATCGTCATGTTTCAGGTGCATCCGGATGCAAATAACGTGATGTATTTTGCGTAAATATGTTCGGTCGGTGTTCGGCTTGACACTGCTGCGCATGTCCGCCGCGTGCCTCTGCGGTCGACCGCCGTCCATCGCTCCGCTCTGCGCGCCCACACGGCGGCCCAGGCCCTTACCGTTACGGTCGCCGCGTCTCGTGTGGCGGTGCCCAGCCCAAATACCGATGTACACATCATTTATGCACGCTATATGTACGTTTTGGGCATCATCATTTACTCTTCTTCAGCTCAGCAGTATCAGTATCGATCTTTTTGATGTAGTCAAAGCGATCATCACCATTATCTCTTGCGTACGTTGTGATTATTTTATGTGAACGTCATCGTTGTTTTAGCTCTCTGTATACCTCTACATTCATAAATTGCCAATTTCACTGACAAACGGTGAGTTAGTTCATCTTATCTGAAAGGAATTTCGGCGCAGTTCGGCGGGGGGGGGCACTTTACTGCACTAGTTCCGGTTTACAAGTCTCACTGTGGTGAAACCTGTGTACTCTTGTGAATGCTGAGCGAGCTCGTCTGGCCACCACGGTAGACCTGTCAGTTCCTGTGAGCTCACGGAATGACTCTCTAGATAGGTTCGGCAGGTCGATGGGAAGTAGCAGAAGCGCGAAATGTCCCCTCCCCTTCGCCGAACTGCCTCAGAATTTCTTCACGTAGAAGTCCATGAATAATTGCATCCACCG